AATAAAATTTTTATATTTTCTCTTATTTTTTATATTTTTTGTATTAAAAAATATGATTTATTTTTTTATTTGTGAATTCTTAATTAAAAATGTAATAATCTTAAAAAAAAATTAATGCAAAATAAAAAAAGTCATTTTTTTTTATAAAGTCGTGTCAATATTACAACAAAGTAACAATTGATGTGAAGACTTATATAAAAATAAACAAATAAAAAAATTAGTTTTGATTCTTATTTAATGTTGACGAGAAGATTGATTTTTAAAAGTTTGTACAATTAATTTTTGATATATTCATTCATAAAATATCAACCATATTAGAATAAAAATATTATATTTAAATAATTGATTAGTTACTGTACAAACATAGTTTTAATTATTTAATTTGAAAGAAATTGATTCCATAATATCCATAAATAAATAAATAATAAATGTTTTGTATTGTTTTGTGTTGTTGCATGGTTAATTTATAATAAAACCAGCAATTTAATATATTTTTTTATTTACGTATTAATTGTGTTTAGAGTTTGCAACATAAAAAAAAAAAATTAAAAATAGCTAATATGTAAGTAATATAATGAATAATTTCGAAGTTAATATAATAAAATTAAAAGCTGTTACAAAATTGATTTCGACAAATTTTGATTATTTAAAGAAGTAGCAAAAAAAAAAAAAAAACATAAGAATTCCTTTTTTTTTCCTTCTCCTATATATATATATATATATATATATATATATATATATATATGGTGTCTTGGCCATACACGATCAATCCTTCGCATAGGCCTCATATGCGGGGCTATGATTTTTAAATTTTCAAAATCCATCGCATAATCATATCATTTACATTTTTTTAAAAAAATAGAAAAATAATTAAGTTCTAAAATTTTATTCTAAAATCCATATGTAGATTTTTTTTAAAAAAAATCATATGTGTTTGTAAATAAATCTTAATAAAAAATAAAAAAATTAATTGGATGAGAATTTCCATATGAAATGACAAATTAAAGGAATAAGTTTTAAATAATAAGAGTAATATAATTCAAAATATATGTTCATTTTAAAACATAAAAATATATCATATATCTTTCTTCATCTTTAAGTTGTTGAGAAACCCCAAAAACAACTATCGATTATCCATAATTTTCTCGGAATAATCCATAATAATAAAATAAAAATAAATTGATGAAAAAATAAAACCAAAAGCTAAAAAAAAAAAAAAAAAAGAACAAAGAACAGAGCCGCAACAAATAGATCTATATTTAACCAAACAATAACCAAAAATGACAATTTTCTCCCTTCCTATATCTTTTTTGTCTTATTTCCAATCTATTAAAAAATCCATAACATTCGGAAAAAAGAAAAAAATAGAACCCAATCAATCTAATTAGTTTACCAAAGGAGCGAAGGAAAAATTGGAGGGTATTAAAAATATTAATGACTTTTCTACTCTAATTACGGAGATTTATCCATCAAAGAACTTAGTCTCATGGTTTAATGAAAAAAATTACCTCCAAACTATTGGATTATGGCAATTCATGGTCTATAGTATCAATTTAATTATTTGGACAATAAATTATTTATTTTTGGGCAAATCTTATCCTTCTCCATTATTACCAACGAGTTCTATTTTTTTTAGAATTAAAATTAATTTCATTTTTTTAAACAATAGCTAGTTTTATGGAAGTTTAAATAATTTTGTTGTTTATAAATTTAATTTTTATTTCCAGAGAGCTTGTAACCCAATGGAGTGGTTTCTTGCAACAAGAGATCATAGGTTCAAATCCTAACCGAGTAGTTACGTTAAAAGCCTTGGGTGTGTGAGTAAAAAAAAAAAAATTCTTATTATTGAATAATTAATGATATGTAATGGATCCATCTAGTAAGAAAATGATTTTTTAAAAAAGAATTTAAATTAATTTCAAAAAAATATTTAATAATAATTAGCTTAAGGTAGCTTAGATGAATTTATTTATTTATTTTTTTATGGAGCTCAATTTTGTTGTTAGATAATTAACAATGTGTAATGGATGTATGTAGTTTAAAAAAACTAAATTACTCGTTATTTTTTGAAATTAATTTTAATTTTAAAATAAATATGAAATGCTTAAAATGACGCCGTTTTAAATATTTTAGTTAACAATTAACAATTTGACTATCCAAAATACTAGAGAAGGAATAAATTTACAAAATAATTAATAGTTTGGAGTTCAAACAATCTAATTTGATAGTATAGACCTTATTTTGCAACAATCTTAATTGTTTTAGGATAAATTTTTCCATTATATTAAACCATAATCTAGTTAATAGTGAACGTTATGATCATTATAGATAATGAATGAAAGATAATATTTATCTAAAAAATAATGATTTTGGATCCAAATAGTTTAAATTCACAACATGAGCAATCTAATAATTTAGGGATAATTTTTTACCTTAAAAAAGTAGTTTGACAAAGCAAAATTATGTATTTAAAAGCTATTATATTAAACTTGTGAATTTATGAAAAAGGGTGTGGATGTGCAAAGAGGGGGAAAAAGAGAGAGCAAAAACGTAATGATATAGACACCTACTCACGTAAAAGGTAAATAATAAAAAAAATATAAAAACGAACGAAAGAGACTCTTTATAGTGAATTTGAGAAGTTACGAAAAAAGATGTGAAAGTGTAGGAAAAAAAATGAATAAGAAAGGATGATAAGGTAATCATAGAGTCATTTAATGATAATCTAACGTAAATAAAAGAAAAAAAAAAAAAAGGCAAACGAACGAGATGATAAGGACAAAAAATGAGAGTGCAAGAAATGTGGAGATGAAAAGTAATGTTTATAGGGATCAAAAGATACACATAAGGACAAAAAATGAAAGTGCAAGAAATATGGAGATGAGAAGTAATGTTTCTAGGGATCAAAAGATACACATGCGTAAAATATATAGTTTATTTGCAAAACACTAATAAGAGATTTAACAGCAGAGACAATTCTAGAAACAACAACACAATAATCAAATGGTGGAGAGAGCGCACAGCGCAGACGTATTTTGGTCCACAATGAAATTAAGTTTAGATGATCGGTGATTGAACAGTGACAAGTACTGTTCGTTTAATTTTATTTGTTAATTTGAGTGGCAGATATAATCATATAATGATATAATTGATACTCCGGAAATTATTTTATGGAAAATCAGTGTCAACGGTTGTTAGTGGGACCAACATTGGACCGCACTTGATGAACGGCGGATATGAAATGGTCTCACCACGCTGGTGCCAGCCGTTATTATTTTATTTTATCAGCATCCTCTGTCGCATATAGCTGTCCTGTCCACAGTGTTTTGGACTTTCGACGGCCCAATACATTGCCGAAAAGACATTTCCCATGTTTATTGCAAGAGTGTTTCAAGGCTGCATTTAGGGCAAATTTTTATCATCAAACTCTCAATTTGAGTGCTGAATGTGAAGTAAGTAATGTACTTCGCTCTGAAAAGCAAGTTGGATAATTTGTCGTCTCACAATGGGTAAACTATATTCTCGCTGCTTCTCTATATTGCGTGTCTGATCACTTAAACCTTGACGTATAGATTTAAAAATAAACCTAATCTGACTTTGGTGTTACGAAATAAAGTTATGCATAGCTTTTATTCCTAATGACCTTGCCCTTTTGCTCTAGGCACTACATACTGAACAGAATCCGTTAATTTGTCTGCCCATTTTCATTTACTTTCTTCTTTGAAAATGCTTTTTCATATTCGTGGCAGCCTGGTCCTTTTTAATTCCTCTCCATCTTAGACCAACAATGATTTCGACAGGAATTTACAAGTTTTAGAGGAAACTTTTTCCTTTTTGATAATTAGTTTTTGTGGTGACTTAACTGTAAAGGAGGCTAGCCAGTAATCGAACCCAATTGTCCATTCGAACTCTCGTCCATTTCTTTGCTTCACAATTGAAACTTGGAATCTTTGTGTCTTCAATAGCAGAACTATCTCTGTGGAAAAATATAAAATAATATGTAATCCAAAAAATTCTGTTAAAAAGACCCCAAGATCAACAGGTAATTCAACCTCCCCCCAGAAAACTAGGCCTATCGTCTAATTTAGTAGGTTAATAAATTGAATCGTATTATATTATCTATTATTTTAAATATTTCTGAAAATTATAAAATATGAAACAGCTGTGCAAGTCATTCTCACGTCTCATGCTAGCACCACACTCCAAAAGATATAAAAGCTCATGATATTAAATCGAGTACATTCTCTCTCTTTTGTTTACCTAAACATGGACCGGCGGCGATTTGCTGTAAAACATTCCTACATAATAGCCCTTTGTCTCCTTTTTTGTTCTACCTTTCCGGGGAATACACATCTTGCATAATTGTTTCATTCACTTACTAGCGTTCAAACTACAGTAAAATGTTGATGATTTGACCGCACCAAATCGACATGTTCAGTATCTTCGGGATTAAAAATCAGCGAGTTGTAGAAAAGGCAAAAAAAAAAAAAAAAGGTACTGATCTTCTAATGCCGCGAACATGACACACAGAACTCAATTTGCTGCAGAATGGGAAAGTCAGCCATGGCAGGTTACAAATTAAGTTCTTTCCTTGAAACCCTTAAAATACCAACTTCTATTCCAACAAGGCATAGAAAAGAAATGACTTGTTAGGAGAAGATCAGCGCAGCTTGTGTGGACAAAGAAACGAAGGATAAAGAAGACATGGGTACATAACCATGCAGCTCTGTTCGTGAACCATCCATAAATTGGACATGTCTACAGACATGAAATGATCTTGCGATGCTGAGTATGGTCCACCGCAAAATAAGAACATCCCAGCCACGATTTAATGATAATGAAGCGGGGAAAATATTCATTTCCTCCAAATCGGTTTTATCCTTCATATACTACTTTAGATTTTTTGCTGTTTCCAAGTCGATTTTAGCCTTCATAATATCAGAATTGGCCTCCCTGATGAAGCCTTGAGGCATTTAAAAACTCGAGGCAATATGAAAGAGTCAAGTTGATTCTATCCAACTATACCCTGATAACTTGGATCGTTTCTTCTCTTTCCACAACTTTCTCAATCTGACATCATCCCACCTTCCAACAGAGGAATAAATGTTGGCAAGAAGAGAATAATAAGCAGTTGCATTAGGCTCCAAATCAAAACAATGCTGAGCTGCAATCTCTCCAAACTCAGACTCGACCAACTTTCTACGTTTAACAAATTGAATTTGCCATCCCAAATCTAGGCACACGTGGGTTGTTACGATATCCAAGGTCTCGCAAACTAGCCTTTGATCCTTCGTATGAAAGAGTCAGGTTGATTCTATCCAACTATACCCTGATAGCTTGGACAGTTTCTTCTCTTTCCACAAGTTTCTCAATCTCCTGACATCATCCCACCTACCAACAGAGGAATAAATGTTGGCAAGAAGAGAATAATAAGCAGTTGCATTAGGCTCCAAATCAAAACAATGCTGAGCTGCAATCTCTCCAAACTCAACACTGTTATGCACGCTGCAGGCAAGCAGCAAAGCCCCCAAACCCCAGAATGAGGCTGCATTGGCATACTCTTTATCAGTTCATATGCCTCTTGTAATCTTCCAGCTCTCCCTAAAAGATCGACCATGATTGCATAATGATCAATTGAAGGTACAAGGTCATGTTCCTTCATGGAACTAAAGAATCGATAGCCCTCTTCAACAAGACCAGCATGGTTACATGCAGTTAATATCCCTGCAAAGGTGGCTAAATTCGGATGAATTTGGGCATCCACCATCATTTCAAACAAATTGATGGCATCAGCAACCTTGCCATTCATGCCACATCCCGAGATCATTGCACTATAAGCAACCACATCCTTCTTGTTTAGACCATGAAATAGCTCATATGCCTTGTCAACACTCCCACATTTTGCATATAGGTCAAGTAAAGCAGTAAGCAACCGATCATCAATATCAGTTCCAAGATCATTTATATATGACTCTATCCATGACACAAATCTCCAGTCCCCCAATTGTGAACAAGCCGACACAACACTTACCAAAGTCATCTGATCTGGCTGAATATTTGCATAAGCTTTAACCATCTTGCTAAACAGCTGAAGGGCCTTCTTAGGTTGGCTATTCTGAGCAAAGCAAGATATCATGGCATTAAACGTGAGCAGATCTTTCTTAGCTATCTGATCAAACAGTTTGCTAGCAGAGTCAACATCTCCACATTTTGAGTACCCAGCAATCATTGTGAGCCAGGAAACACTATTTCTTCGGGGCATTGCATCAAAGAATCTCTGTGCTGATTCTATGTTCCCACAATCAACAAATCCACTAATCAATGCATTCCAAGAAGAATAGTTTTTCTCTGGCATCTGTTGAAACAAAACATATGCGCGGTCCATGTGCCCTGTTTTTGCATACCCTGATATCATTGAATTCCAGGATATGACATCTTTCCTTGGAATCTGGTCAAACACCTTCCGAGCCTCTAGTAGATTCCCAGATTTCAGATGCCCAGATAAAATTGAATTCCATGAGACTACATTCTTCTCCAACAGCTCATCAAAAACCTTCTGTGCAGTGTTCATATCACCCAGTTTTGAATATAAATCCACAAGTGCTGTTTGAACATAAACACAGCTAGAGAATCCATATTTATAACTTTGAGCATGGATCAATAGTCCACCCATCTTGTATGTGGTCCTAGCATACGCCCTTAAAGCAGAGGATACAGCAAATGTGCTTGGACACAATCCTTGTCTCTGCATCTGCACATAAAGATGTAAGGCTACCTTGAATTGGCCTTGCTGAGAGAAATGTCTAATTGTGCAACCCCATGGGAGTGGATCTGGATGTCGCAAATGGTAAAGGATATTATGGATGTATTGAGCAATTCTTCTAGAGTAATTGCTAGCAGACAGGAGGGTTTGACGGATAACCAGAGACTCCAGGTTGGGAAGACCATTGATGATGATGCATGCATGGATTTGTTTTATCTGGTTGGCAGTCAGATAATTATTCAATAACGTTGTCAGTTTGGCAGCTAGCATCCGGATAGCAGAGTTGAACACACCAAAAATAATCTCTGGTTATTTGAACCATTTGGTTGTAAATTCTTCGTTTCTAGTCAATTAGTAAACATAGTTTCAGCTTGCCTCATAATCTTGATGTGCTGAAATGGCATTGCATAAAAATTCAAGAAACCCAAGCCTTTCCCTCCAAAGACAAATGGCATTGATGCTTCTTTATTTCCTGTGAAGCCCAACACACAAACATGCACCACATTGATGAATGATTGGTCATAATACCCACAATGGATAAAAGATGATAAGGTTAAATATATTGTAGAACAGAAATTCAATCCTTCAAGCTATTCACCTGAACAAAGAGTTGTCCAAAAATAACTCAGACCTGAAACAGTAAAACCAAATCATCCAGCTTAATTTAACATGACACCTAGAAGTCATTTATCCAATAAAATATAAGATCACTATGCTTCCAAATGAGAATTGATAAGCTGATATAACTATAAGTCATTGGTGCCAATGCCACCGAATTTAGTGACAATGTATACAGTAAACAAACAAACACACAGTAGTACCTCCACAAAGCGCTTAATAAAGGATTCAATTGGGCACAGGATTCTGCATACATCTATATAAAAAAGATCACCATGAATTGAATAATTTGATAACCCAGTATATAATTGCAACTTACACTTTAAGAAACCACGAGTAGCCAAAAATCAAATATATGAAGCAATGACCCTATTTGATACAAAATATTGACTAATTACATCAATCAAAGCCATCATTACCAAATATTTAAGAAATTCATCATTTAAAGAAACCCATGACACTAAAAGAGGTCAAATTCTTCACTATGCTTTCCTTCATTTGACAGAATCTCCGGAGAGTCGCTCGAGCAAACTAATAATAAAATTCATTCATCCCTTCATTAGGCATACCAGCAAGCATACATACCCAATAAGAAAGGACTTCAAGTTTTGAGCTTTGAACCTTAACAGGAAGAAAAAAGAAACAAGAAAAAAAAAAAAAAAAAAACAGAGATTCATATATCTAAAGGAACTGAGAAGATAAATAAGAAAAATGCATTGGCGTTGAGTAAGGAACCATACCTGAATTGACTATTATGCCACTTCCATTATCTGGCCTTTCTCTTCAGCTTCTTCTTAATCTCCCTGCCTCTGCTTCTGCCTCATCTCTCAAAAACAGACATGTACACTTGAAAACGTTTTTGCAACACTGTTTTTGAAGACGGTAACTATCGAACTATAAGTAGCAAACAAAGAGCCCAAATGAAAGCCCTTTCCTTGATAGTAATCCAATCATAAGTTTTGCAGACTTAACAAACAGGGGCTTCTTGGAATAATGAGCTTGGATTTAGGGGGGCTTAGGGCAAGGGTCTTACCTTGAGCTTGTTTTTGGTTTTAAAGTACCATATTTTGCTGCTATAGTTGACCAAATGTTTCACTTTAACACCTAACGTCTCAATACTTACCGGTGCACTAAACTTAGACTTATTGGTTCTAAAATATTGTTAATTTTTTGTCAATGAACTGGTGTCTAACTTTTATTTTATTTTTAAATTTTAATACTAAATCCTTTTTTTCAACAATCGAGTCCAGCTTTTTTATAGACTAATTTTCGACAATATTTTTCTCACTTGATCCAATAAAATAACAATACGTGTTTTAAGAAAAATACTATCAAGCACATGAATAAATCTAAATAAAATGAAAATTTTTAAATAGCTAAAATGCCCCTGTCCATTTCTTTCTTGGTGAAAAAAAGAAAAATCTCTAATTATTTTAAAATAACAAAAGCAATAAAACTGAAAATTCATAATAATCACTGAATTACATCTTCCCTTTTCATTCTAAATAAAGTGATATAAAACAACTTATTAATCACCCATTAGCGAAAGAATTTTACTTTTGCCTACCAACTTTGACGACGAAAACCATTCCATAACCAATTGTAAAGCAGCTTCAAAACAATAACAATGACTTAGAAAGAGAACTTTAGATCATATGAACCAAACGCATTCGTCACAAGATAAATCAATTGAGAACATAGGAATCAATCAATTCAGTAAAAGGATTATCTTAAAATCACAGAAAATATTAAGATTTTATAGGAAAAGAAAGAAAATTTGAAAAAAAAAACCCTGCATCAATAAAGTCTTAGAATATAATTATCAATAAGAAAATAGGCCTCATATCTTTTATTTTTTAATTCTCAAAAACACAAGAAAAAAATCATGGGTTTCTTGTAATTAAAAAAAAAAACACTCATTTCTTCTTCTTCTTCTTCTTCACAAAAAAAAAAAAAGCGCATTTATTAACATCCTAAAAACACACATGTTCTAAAAAAATCAACCAAGCCAAACATTAAATTTAACAATATAATTAAAAATTAAACATATTTATAGAAAAGAGAATAGAAATATAAAAAAAAGGAGAAAGAAAAGAAAAAGAAAAAAATAGAAAAGAAGACAACTCATGGGAAAGAGAAGAGATAGAAAAATGGAAGAAAAAGGAAAGAGAAGGAAAGAAAAAAGAAAGAAAAAAAGAAGGAAAAAAAAAAGAGGAGAAAGGAAAGAGAAAGAGGAAAAAAAGGCTTAATGTTTCAAAAAACCATGAACTTTCCTCTTTTTAATGATTTTAGTTGGTTCTTTTAATTTTGAATAGAAAAGTCACCAACTAAGTTTCGATAATAATACTAGCACATATCAATTTTTTTGACTTAAATTCGATCAAAGTTGACATGGTACTCGACGAAGCATGACAATTAGACTAAATATGAAACGTAGGTTCAATGTAAGCGGTGACATGAAAAATTAATTATAAAAATTTAAAGGCATGTCATCTCCTATGTACCCCAATTATAATAAAATCTCTAATTCAAATTAACCCTAACCCGTATAACTCGTATGTCATTTATTTTTCATTTTAATTTTGCACAACACACAATCTTCATTCTTCCTTCTTAAAATCAAATCCACACGTCCTCCTTTCTTCTTTCTTTGGCTTCTCCTTCATTCTTCACAAAATTGAACCCACAAATTTAAAAAAACCCTAACTCCCTAACCTACCATGTATGTCATTTGCTTTCCATTTCAATTTTGTATAGCACACCATCTTTCTTCTTCTTCTCCTTTGTCCGCCTATGTCTTCTCATAATCGAGCAAATCCATAGATCACCATTGATTTTATCTCAAAAGAACCCAAAAAACCACCATCTCCCTTTGCCTTTCTTCGTCTACCATTATTTTCTTCTTCCTTCTCATTCTCTAAACCGTCCAACCCCATTGTCTCCTTTTGTCATGAAGCAATTACTTTAATTCAAGCAATTCAAAACTCAAACCCCTTTTTATCCCTAATCCCTTAAATTCAAAATTCCAAATTCTAAGAGATGAACCTTCAAGGAAATCCCTTAAAAACCTTAATCCCCAAAATCAAAATCTTAAACCACTTTTTGTCCAACCCCCTCCCACGATTATTCTAAAAAAAAAAAAATTCAAATCTAAAACCCAAATAAACCAATTGTTCATATGACAACTAAAATATCTACAAGTAGTAGCTTCAACATGGATGAAGCTTAGAAAATATCTTTTCCAACTTTGAAGATGCCTTTATGCAAGCACAAGATGAAGACAACTACATATATTTCATGAAAAAAAAATTGAATCTAGAGAAGAAGTTCCTTTGCTACCCATATTGGAAGGTATTGTTATTTGAAAATAAAAATTTTTGTCACTGCCCATATTAAAAGGTATTGCTCTTTTAAAAATGAAATTTCTATCAGCTTGATAATTATGGGAATATTTGATGAAAAAAATTGAATTAATCTTGTTTGATATTTTAGATTGATAATTATAAGCATTGGAAGTGGATTGAAGAAGGAAGCAACGTCCATGGAGCTAGAAAGCCAATGGCAATTGATATTGAAGAGTTGAAGGAAATAATATAGTTAGTAGAAAAAATGGAAAAAAAATTTGAGTTTAATTAGAATTGAAGAAAAAAAGAGAAAGCAAAAAAAGAAAAAAAAGTGAAGAGTTGATTGAAGAAATGGATAAGATGAGATCTAAAGTCATTGAAATGAAAATTAAAATACAAAGAATGAGGCTTAGCATGAGGAAGTTAGGAGGAAAAGTGAAAGGTATTGTGATGTGGAATTTGTTGGTAATAGCAATAGGTTTTATGTTATTATGATACATGTTGCCTTCAAATGATCATAATGGCATATTTACTTTAAACTAAGTAAGAAGTATGACCATTAAGGTGAAGAAAGGCCAAGACATTCCCAAAACATTGTTTGTATATAGCATTTTCTTGCATTGTTATTACTTACCTTATTTTCAACTTATTATGATGTATACATAACTTATAACCCTACCGAAGCTTGTAATGCTTCATATGCTCACCTGTGTATAGATCATTAATGATGTTTCTTACGAAATGATTTTGGGATAAACTCTATTTTAAATTATCAATATTTCCCTCATGTCCATGTTCTTTAAAATTTCCAATATTGCATACATTGTAGTATCCTAAAAGTTTCGATGTTAAACTATAAACGGGGTTGTCGGAGACGAGTAGAACAATTGATACCAAGTATACCACCACCTCCCTCCCGAGAACTAAAATCATGAGAGATTAAGCAACATTCTTTAGATAATTGCTCACATATTACAATTAAGGAGGCGAATTGAAAAATTAAGTGAAGCAAATTGAAAAGATCACCGAGATAGTCACCAAACTCCTAACCAATCATACGAGTAGATATTCACAAACTCTACCTCAGTCCATACCTAAAAACATATTTCATTTTATAAAGTTTGTTGCATATGCAAATTTCTTTTAACTTATTAGAATTATCTAGAATATCCCATGATTAATTTTCTCTAGCAAACATGATTTGGAAGGCTTCATTGTAGTACAAAACTTTGATAAGCCTCTTTATAATGTCATTCTTTGTTACTTGAAATTTTTATTATGTTTTATAAATAATATTAATACATCATT